AAACACCCATCATTCACACAACAGAACCATAATGGGAGGGCAGTTGGGAGTGGCTGAAGCTGGAAATTGATCATAGGGGAAGAGCAGAACAAGGCCTCAGTGCCTAAAGCAGTCAAGCTACCTCAGTCTTGAGAAAAACATCATGTCTGGACAATTTTGGTTATTAGTCCCAAGGCAATTTTGTGTCTCCTGATCCTAACTTTGCAAAGGTATAAATAATTGCCTCTACTGCTGTTGTTGGAATCTTATTTTTGTGGGTTTTTTTTTTTGTATTTTAGGGAAGGGCCTACAGAGTGTTCAGGGTCTCACTACTAGATCGACTCATAGTGATTCTCCTGTTTACAGCCTCCCAAGTGCTGGGATTCCACGCCCAGTCTCAGTCTACCTCTCAGCGCGTCCAGGGGCAGGGCCAGCACTGCTCTTGGAATCTCTTGCCAGTCATGCGGACAGACCTCCAGTTGCACCCAGCTCTTGTCTCTTGTCTGTTGTTTCCTCGTTCCTGTTTCTCCCTGGGGCACCCCAAGACGCTGAGTCCCCTACATCTGGGTCAAATAGTATTTCTATTTTAAGTTTTTTTGAGAAATTGCCATACTGATTTCTATAGAGCATGTACTAGGTCACAATCCCACCAACAATGTAGAAGAGTTCTTTCCTACAGCCCCACAAGCATTTGTTATTATGGGATTTCCTGAAGAAGACAGCCATTGTATCTGGAGTGACATGAAATGTCAGAGTTGTTTTAGTTTGCATTTCTTTTTTTTAAGTTTTAAAAAATAATTTATTTAATTATTTATTTGGTACAGGGTCTCACTATGCAGCTTGAACTCATAGTAATCCTCCTTCTCAGCTTCCGCAGTATCTATATTTCCTTTTTTTCTCTGTATTATTATTATTATTTTTTGGTACTGAGGATCAAACTCAGGACCTGTTGCTTGCCAGGCAGTCCCTTATACTGCTGAGCTATCTCCCCAATCTCTCCCCTATTATCTTGATTATATCTAGAGATCATGCCCTTTTCCTGCATAAAGAATCAATTGTGGTGTTTCTGAATTCTTAAAATTTTATTTATTTATTTATTTTTGTGGTCAGCTCAGCCTGTCCTGGGGGCAGGGCTGGTGAGGCATGTGGTGCCAATGATTGAACCTCAACTTCTTTTCTTTTCTTTTTCTTCTTTCTTTCTTTCTTTCTTTCTTTCTTTCTTTCTTTCTTTCTTATTTCTTTCTTTTTTTTTTTTTTTTTCAGTACCGGGGATTGAACTCAGGACCCTACACTTGCCAGACAAGCACTTATTCTACTGAGCTATCTCCCTGACCGTGAACCTCAGTTTCTAAACTTTAGACCACTGAGCTATCTCACTAGCCCTT